ACTGTCCGCTAAAACCATCTGAAGACACCCCGCGTGCAGCGGGCAGAAGTCACCCTAAGGGACAAAGGAGGAGGGGGGGGGAAAGTCTCTGAGGAGTGAAAACACCCTGTGCTCCCGTGGCTTCCTGCACGGCAGGCAGGTAGCCAGTGCCTGCAAGGGGTCAGCAAATTCTCCAAACAGTCCCAGGATCCCTGAAGCCGCAGGGCTTGGGAGAAGAGGGTACAGCCCCTACCTGCTCCACATGGGCAGAAGCCTGGCCCTGTGTGTGTGTGTGCTAACCCCAAAGCCGAGCTGTAACCCCCACCTGCCAAAGCCCACCAGGACAGCAGGGAACCCGGTGGCCCTGGGTACAGCCAGGGCACGGTCAGGGGGTGACCTCTAAACTGTCCTTGAGGATGCCTGTGCTGCAGGGAGGACACAGAGCTGGGCAAGGGGAGACGACGTGGCCTCCCGGGGAGCATAAGGGCCAGTAGAGCATGGGTGGCGCCCCACTGGGGTGGCAGTGTCTGCAGAAGAGCAGGCTTAGCCAGTGTTGGCCCTCGGACGGTCACTTCCCCTACAGGCCTGGCAATTCCACACTTGTGGCTGGAGTTGCGTTTGCCAGCGACTGCAGGACAGGGCTCAGAGCAGATCAGGAACCACCCTACCTCCCCACCCCCAGGCCTCCATGGCTCGGGGTCTCGCTATGCTCTGGTCACTGAGGTCAAGGGGGTCACCTCCTCTTTATCCCCCTGATTCTTTCTGTGCCTCTGCGTCGGAGGCATCAGAGCTGGGTTTCAGAAAAACGAAAGTAAGGATGCATCCGTTGAAAGCACTCAAAGCCTCAAAACCATAGTGTAAAATTGACAAGTCCCTCTGTTGTCGGCTTTAGTTGTCAGAGAGGGACGGGGAACAAAGGGGCAGTAGCCTTGTGGGGCAGGGTCTCACGGACGGGGCGAGTTGGGGAGAGGGTTGCTGCTTTGGTGGGGGACAAAACAGGACAACACAGCACGAGGAGGTAGGGTGGGAACTCTGGGATTCAGCCTTCTCATCAGTGTCCACCTAATATTTAAAACTGCTATCGCATGGTGCTGTTGGGCAGCTGAAATGCAATGATAGCTGTGGAGGATGGCTGTGGACTCCCCATTATTGCTGCGTGCTTGCAAAGGACTCAGGAGGGGCAGTGTCTTCATTCCTTTGGGCCTAGAAAAGCCAGGACTGACGGTGCCCCTGGGCAGTCTTGGGCCCTGGTCAGCAGCAGGACGTAAGGGAACCTGCCCAGGTGCATGAGTAACTTCTGAGCAGCTGCCAGGCCTTGCTGGCGGTCCCAGGCTTGTCCAGCCCCTTCTGCCAAACATTGCAGTGATGTCCAGGCAGAGCCTGCCTAAAACCAGGACTTTGGAGTGATCTCCGAGTCTTCTCTGGCTAGATGCACAGTGCCAGAGAACCACAGGGACAGGAGAGCAAGCCGGACACCAAGGCTTCACAGCACCTCAGGCCAGAGCTAAAACTGGGTAGGGTGTAGTGGCAGATCCCAAAACAAAATGAGAAAAAAAAAACAAAAAAAAAACAAAAAACCCATAGTGTTTTAGCACTCTGCCTGGCTCTGAGGCCAGAGGACAGAGATGGGGCTGGGTGATGCCAGGTGGTACTGGGATTCAGCCCTGGGGTCACAGGCCCCGTGGCCAGGATTGGGGATCAACCTGCCATGTGAGGTTCAGGTGCAGGATTTGAATGTAACTGAGGTCTGGATTGGAGCAGACCTTTCTGTACCACGCTGGGCTCCCGCAGCCCCAGCACCCACTCCTCCTCTCCACAACACCCCCTGGGGAGGCTGGCAGAAGTGCAGTACCATGGCTTTCCTTCCCCCCCCCCCCTCCTCCAGTACTCTGTGGGACTCCAACTGGGCAAACCAGCAACTCCGGGCAGTCCTTGCGACCACAGTCTAGACCCGCCCCCACACCTGGCAGTTGGGCAAAAGGAAGGACTTGGAATTTCTTTCTCGTGCTGTCTCCTTCCTTACCTGGAATCCCCGCTGTACCCCTGAGCAGAAGAGGGCGGCGCTGAGCATGGAGGGACAGAAGCTCAGAAAAGCAGGGAGGGACAAACGAAGGAGGCCTGGGGAAAAGGCAGCAGGGGTGCAGGGGTGCTTCCCGAGCAGCCATACCCACTGTGGACAGCGGCCGGGAGGCAGATGTTGGTGCCCTGAGCATGTGCCAGGTCGATTCCTCTGCTGGCGCCTCCCTGAGTTGTATGCCGCCATTCTTTATGGGGGGGGGTGGGGGTGGGACATCACCTCACAGATGAGTTCCACCCCCAAGACCAAGCCTTTTAATCACCCCTGCTACAAGTGTTGGGGAGGGAAGGTTAAATGCTCCGGGCTCTTCAGTAACTTCCCCATCCGACCCCTCATTTTACTCCAGCTTCACCATCAGTTGGGGAGTGCGGTGGCACTGGCCTCCCCACTGGGGAAGGGGATGGGAGATGTTCAATTCAGTTTATTCTGTCAATCTCCCAGCTGCTCCCCCACCCAGCTCTCTGTTTCTGGGGTTCTGATAGGGACCTCCGGAACGACTGGTCTGGGGTGGAAGAGTAAAGAGCACGGAGCCGGGAGCCCAGAGCAGGCTGTTTGGGGCCATCCCCAGGAATCCAGGCGCCTGGGGAAGGGGCAGAGGGACTCGCGTCTCCCGAGCCTGTAGTGCTTTAACTGTCCACCAGGTGGGGTTCCAGGGCAGAGAGTGAGGGCTAAAGAGACCAGGCGCCCAGAGGAAGTCTGGCTTGGAGATCTCCGCAGTCCACCTCAACCCCCGAAGCGCTCCCACAGGAAGGACCACTCTGGGGCGCGCATCCTAGACATTCAGGCACATTTTTTTTCCTCTAGTGACTTTCAAAGCGGAACTCGTACTGGCTGCAGGCGAGGCGTTCAACGGGGAGCCTGGTTTCCTTTGCGCACACACACCCCCCCCCACGCGCGCGCGCACACGCACACACATACACACACCATCCCAAGCTGAAGACGAGGTCAGCTAGTCCTGCCGCGGGAGTGAGCGAGTGAACGGCAGAGACTAGGGGGTGTGTGGAGAAAATCACGGCGCACAGAGAGAGCGCGCCAGCCTTTGGCTATCCAGATGTCGGCATGGGTGCGCCCAGCTCCACGTCAACACAGGTGACAGACAGATGCACCGACGCACAGACCTACACAGCTGCACACGCCCCACTTCGCTCCTCGGGCGTCGGGCCGCCGCAGGACATACGCGCGCACGCACACAGGTGCGGCCCCGGGCCACACACACAGCGCGCACAGGCACGCGCGCAGTGCCCTCTGCGGCCGGGCTCAGAGAAGGTGGCCGCGCTCGCAGGCTTGTTTATTTACTCATTTGTATCAAAGAACGTTTGTGCCCTACTTCTGCCGCCTCCGGGGACCACCGATGCATTTGTTCCCGGCGCGGGACGCTCAGCGGCACCAAGCGCCTACGGGGACCACAACACCCGAAGTGTCAGAGAAGGGGCTGCCGCGTGGGCAACCCCGGACACGCGGACTGGATAAAGTGACCTCGGGGTCCTGGAGGGTAAATGACAAGGGGGGGGGGAGGAGGGTGTGACACTTAACATTAGAGGCTTGGGGATGTGGGGACAGAGGATGGGGAACCAGGAAGAGTGAGACTGAGAGCAGTAAATGAGGAGCCCCAGGAGGCAGGAGGTTGGAGGCGTGGGCCCCTCGAGATAGGAGCTGGAGGCGCTACACCGAGTTTCAGGGGCGTTGGGCACCCCCGCAATCAATCGGGCTGTCTGGCTTTGACCTGCGCGGCCGGGGGCTGCGACCCACGCGAGACTGCCCGCAGCTGGCCGGGGACCTGAGAGGGAGCAGAAGACAGAGGAAAGGAGCCCAGCCGCCAAGCGGGCACCCGGCAAGGGCGCACCGCGTTTGTGTGCGCGCGCGTGTGTCTCATCTCGTCCTTCTCCAGGTGACGGGCCGAGCGAGCCGCGGGAGAGAAGAAGCGGAGGAGGAGAGAGGTGAACTGAGTTTGATCCTGCGGTGGCCACAAGTGGGTCCCGGGCGCGGCGGCGGCGGGCGGGGCGGGGCGGGGGGCGGCCGCGCTCACACGCTCCGGCCGCGGGCCCGGCCTCTCACCACGCCTCCCGCTTTGTGGCGTCCTCCGCGCAGCCTCCCGCCTCTATATAAACACACGCATCGGCTCGCATAGAATTGAATTCACATTGAGAGACGCTTTTAAAACCATCAGCCCTGAAATCCTGCCTCCTGCTTCCCCTTCTTTCATTCCTCTCGCTAGCCTTTCTTTTTCCCCCCTTTCTTCTCCCAGCAGCAACTCCAGAGCAGAGAGACCGCGTCCCGGGACGGACCGCCTTTTAATTGATACAATAGCCCAGCTCGGGTTCTCCACCTCCTCCCCCAACCCCACCCCGCCTCACCCCTCCCGCCCGCCGCCGCTGCCGCCGCCGCCGCTGCTGCTGTCGCCTCCCCAAGCGCCCGCCCGGGGCTCTGTCGCCGGCTGCGTCCCGTCCCGGCCGCGGCCCGCCGGCTCCGCACTCGTGCTTCGGCAGCGCCGCGCCAGCCTCGCCGCCTTGCCCGCCGCGGGGTTTCGCGGCGGCTCCGGGGCAGCCTAGGGACGCTGGGCTCGGGCCTCACCACTCGCCTCTGCTGGGGAGCCTCCTCCCTCGCCCCCAAAGTTTCTGGGTTCGTTGGAATTTTGGGGTTCAGCATTTTCCCCTTTCTCCCCCCCACCTAGGAATTTGGGGGGACTACTTTGGACAAATCGATTGCACTTTCTCTCCCCTAGCTCTCCTATCTGTCTCTCTCTTTTAAAAGCAGGGTAAGGGGGGAGAAGAGAAAGAGGCAGGCTCTTGCTGGACAAAGTTTTGCAAAGTTTTCCGAGTCCACCAGTTAGATTCAGGGCTTCATCTCACCACCCCTAGAGCAGCCCCGAGCCCGCCAAAAAGGAACAAACAAACAAACAAGCAAACAAAGTTACACCTGGAGTCGCCTTGAGTTTCCTCTCTCTCTTCTTCCAGGCAATTTTCTCCCATCCCTCTCTCTTCTCCCCTCGCAGCCTCCACTCCCCTTCCCTCGGACCCTTCTTCCCCAGCGGCAGCTGGAGGTGCCAGGACCCTCGGCCACAGCCTCCCCTCCCCCGCCGCCACTTGGGTCCGGCCCTCCCCTCCCCCCGCCGCGGCCGGCACAGCCAATCCCCCGAGCGGCCGCCAACATGCTCTTTGAGGGCTTGGAGCTGGTGTCGGCGCTGGCCACCCTCGCCGCGTGCCTGGTGTCCGTGACGCTGCTGCTGGCCGTGTCGCAGCAGTTGTGGCAGCTGCGCTGGGCTGCCACCCGCGACAAGAGCTGCAAGCTGCCCATCCCCAAGGGCTCCATGGGCTTCCCGCTCATCGGAGAGACCGGCCACTGGCTGCTGCAGGTAAGGGCGCGCTCGCTCCGCCGCTCTCCGGGACCCGCTAACTGCTGAGCGCAGGGCCGAGCGGGGCCGCGCGCCCGCCGGCCAGGGGGCGCCGGGAGCCTGGAGGCACTGGTCCCCGCCCCGCCCCTGCCCTGCCCTCAGCCCGCGCCGCCCGGGCTTCCCTTGCCCGCCGGCGGCCAAGTCCCGGGACTCCCGCGCTGCGCGCGCGCTGGCTCAGGGGGAGGCTGCGAGGAGGGGGCTCCCGGGCCCGGCGGGGCTCCCCAGACGGACTTGGCCGTGGTCGCGGGTAACCTAATATCGGCGTGTGGAGAGCCCCTGGGGACTCACCGCGCGGTGAGAGTCCTTGGAAGAGTCCGAGGTCTGAGCCGATTTCGCCTCCCCAGCGCGCCGCCACGCTCGGGCTTTGGTAGTGGCGGGTGGCAGGAGGCAGGGGTAGGCGGGGAGTGGCATGAATGGCCCCTTTAAGATCCGAAGGGTATTCCCGCCGCGCGATCGGCTGCGCCAGGTACAGCTGCCGTGGCCCGCGGTGTGCGCAAATGTGTGTGTTTTGTGGGTAGGCGAGGAAAACGGTAACCCACGGGAAATGAGAAGTCGGAGACCCGAGCTTTCGGAGAAAAGGGTCTATTTGCCTACTGGGTGGGGAAAGTTTACAGGAGAGGAAAACTTGGGAGGGGTGTGTGTGTGTGTGTGTGTGTGTGTGTGTGTGTGTGTGTGTGAGTGAGAGAGAGAAATCCGTAGAAAGAGAAAACAGAACGTGCCCGTGTTTGCTGTAGGACGCCGCACGACCTGGCAGTCTAGTGATATTGGGGGTGGGGCGCGCTGGGGACCAGACCCAGGTAGGTAATGGAGAGATTAACCTGGAGTTAACCTCGTCAAACGCTAGACAATCGCTTTTGCAACTTGATACACACCAGGCTTGGGGGTGGGGGCGCCCCTGGGGTAACCGTGAGAGGTGTGTTTGTGTGTGTCTGCGCGGTGCGTGCTCACGCGGATGAGCAGCGACTTGGATGACCTGAGACACGCAACCCTGGCAGGTATGGGAGAGGTGAAGCTGGAGGTGAGCGCTGGGACCGGATGGCTTGGAGTGCTTCAGAAGCTTGGCTTGACATTAACAGACGCGTGCAATTTGCGCGCTAGGGCCCAGTGACAGTGGAGAGCGCGCGGAGGGGGCTGGCGGGGTGTGGGGACGAGCAGCGGGGTGCCAGGTTCCTCTCCCCGGCGGTCTTTGCAGGTCCCGAAGTCCACCACGTCTCTTCTGGGAGGTTGTCAAGGAGTGGGACTCGCTGTATCAAGCCGCCCCCTCCCGCAAAGAAGTTCCCCAAAGCCGCTGCCTTTGCATCATACTAAAATGGTTAATCTGCGGCGGTGGTCTAGGCGTCGGGCCGAGAACTTAGAGAATTACTCACATGGGTCACGGCTCCCGCCTTAGCCAGAGCCCATCTGCGGAATCCGCGGTCTGTCACCGCCCGCGCACGCCACGGCTCGCTCCCACACCCGTGTTCTGACCTCTCCTTGCCCTTCGTGTCCCCCCCACCACCACCACCACGTTCTCTCGGAGTCCCACAAAGACCTCTGGGGGCGTTAGGGGGGCGCGCACAACTCCCGCAGAAGTTGGAGCGGTGGGGACTCGCGCCTCGCCCTGGCGCGCAGCTGCTGCAGAGAAGTAGGGGTACGCGCCGAGGCGCGCGGAAGGGGTTAACGCCAGCCCTCCGAGGCCTGGCGTTATTTTTTCGGAGTCATTTATCAGATTTTACGGGGGACCTCCGAGGGCTCTCCGTTTCCACCGAGCGCCATCTAAACAGAGCCCAGGGCTAAAAATACAACATTTTTGTATAAATTGGACTCGCGGCCCGAGCGGCCGCCCCGATGAAAGTCTTCTTTGTGAGGGCCGTGGAAACGGCGGACAAATAACTCTTTATTAATGCCACAAAAAACGCACTTTAATTATAGTTAGGTAGATCAGAGGCGGGGGGTGTGGGGGTGAGGCGGCGGCGACCTCGGAAAATTCACAACCCAACTTTTGTGTCGAAAGAAAAGAAAAACAGAGGAAAAGGAGGAGAGGAGAGACGGAGTCAGACGGAGCGAGGGAGCCCGGCGCAGCAGACGGAGGGAGGGAACCCCGCTCCCCGGCGCTCGCACCCCACCTCCGCCTCCGCTTTTCTTAAAGGCGTAGACACACCTCCAGCCCCGGGGAGAGACGGCGTCCCTGCGGCCCGGCCCCCTCTTGGCAGCGCGGGAGCTCTCGGCTCGCTCCCTGTCGCGCGCCGGGGCTGGAGGCGCATGTGGAAAAGTGATTAAGGACCGGGTTCTGCAGAGTCACTTTTCGGCCACGCTGGGGGTGTGCACACATCTAGCTGGAGAACAGCTTTGCGCGGAGAAGAGGGGGACCAACCCTGGGAATGGGGCTGGGGGGGGGGTGTCTAGAGGTGGCGGCGAGCTTTGCGCGCTCCGGATTGCTTGACCCCGGAGGCTGCGCCAGCCCGAGGCCGTCCGTGCGTCCCCGGGCACAGGTGGGTGCCCTCCCTACACCACCCCTGGGCTCAGCCGGCGCCTGCCCGGCAGGAGAAGGGTTAATGCGGGGTGGGGTGGCTAAGTGGCGACGTCAAAGGTGAGCGAGACGCCCCTGCCCCCGCCCCTCCGAGGTCCCCTTGGTTTCCGGTACCCGCGCCGGGCCGGCTCCGCGGGCTCACCGGAGCGTTAGCTCGGGCCGGGGCCCCACCATCCCCGGCTCGCGCTCGCAGCCGCCGGGGATCCGGTTACCTGCGCGGGTCTCCCCACCCGGTGCGGTCCCACCCCCGCCTGGCGGGAAGCGCCTTCTGCGGCGCTCGGGTTCCAAACTCCAGGGCAACGGCGGCGGCGGCAAAAGTCCTTCTTAGTTATTTCCAGGGCAAAATGCTTTAGAGGAATCGCAGCTCGCGGCCCCCGCCGGGCACTGTCCTCGGAGGACCGCCGCGTTTGTGCACCGGCCACTCCGGAGACCGGAGAAACTTTCAACCTCCATCCCTAGTGACTGCCTGGGGCACGAACCGCTGGCCGCTATAAATAATCTTTGGCCTGCAGCCACCCCGCGGGGTCTGCCAGCCCGAGGCCGGGAGCCTGGAAATATTCCGAGAGGCTGCCGAGCGCTGGGCGGGGGTCGGCGGCTGGAACTTCTGGTCCAGCCGTCAGATACTTTTTTCCTCCTGAAAGTCGTTGCTACAAAACGGCCTCCCGGGGGTGCTCCTAGGCCTCCTGCCTCTCGGCATTATTTATGAGCCTCTGGGCCTTACATCCCAGTTCTTGTGCACGCTATGAAAAACAAAACCTGCACGGGCGCTCATGTGTGTGTATATGTGTGTGTTGGGGAGGGCAGGTGGCTGATGTTGCGGAGTGTGTGTGTTGGGGGGTCCGCCTCCCCTCCCTCTCGGGCTCTCTGTGCACCCTGAGAGAGGTCTCTATTGCATGGTTCCCCTAGGGTTCCGGCTTCCAGTCTTCGAGGAGGGAGAAGTATGGCAACGTGTTCAAGACGCACTTGCTGGGGCGCCCGCTGATCCGCGTGACGGGCGCGGAGAACGTGCGCAAGATCCTCATGGGCGAGCACCACCTCGTGAGCACCGAGTGGCCGCGTAGCACGCGCATGCTGCTGGGCCCTAACACCGTGGCCAACTCCATCGGCGACATCCACCGCAACAAGCGCAAGGTTAGAGCCCTGACACCCTTCTCAGTGCACCTTCCGCCCTACCCCACCCCAATCGTACCCCCGCCTCAGGGTAGGAATGGTGGGGGAGAAGGGTGGGACGGGATGTCTTCACCCTGAAGACCCCGCTGTTCCCCGTCTAGACGACTTCAGGGCCTGCAGACAGACGCTTCTCTCGGCGCACCTCCTGCTGGCTGACTGCCCCATGGGTCCCTCCAGCCTCCAGCTCCAGGCCGGGTGGAGGTGGGGGGCTGTTTGGGGGTGGTATGGACAGAGCTGGAACGTTGCAGGGGACCAGTGTCTCCGAAGCGACACCGGTCCTGGCTGTACTCCCTAGAACTGAAAAAAGGAAGGAGGCGGGGCCGTTAGCTAGCACTCCTCTTTTTGCCACATTTCTCCCTAGGAATCCCGAGACAGGCACCTTTACAATCAAACCTTCATCTCCCTTGACACACACAGACACACACAAACACACACCACACGCGCGCGCACACCTCGCCGCGGCCCCCATCACAAGTAGCTTTGAGGATGACGCGGGCGGACGCCAGTGCCAAGGGGCACCTGGTGGGGTGAAGGTGCCGGGACCTGGTCTGGTATGGTGAACTTTACACCTCCCTTCTCAGCGGCCTAGACAGTGGAGTAAGAGCGAGCGTAGGAGAAGCCGAGGCGCCGGCGCGGGGATCAAAGCTCACACCCCATCCCCCTGGAAGAGGAAGGGAAAGTGGGTGTTTATCCCGTGGATTTCCCGAGCGACTGGAGCCGGCGCGCACGCCGCCGGCCTCCCCGCCCCCTCCCCGGGCGCGCCGCGGAGCACGGGCGGCACGTGCTGTTTGAACTGCAGTAACCCGAAAGCTGAGCCCGCGGGCGGGGCTCGGGCCTGCGGCCGCAGGGAAGGAAACTACAGGACCAACCCCCAACTCCGCATTTTCCACTGGGTCAGAGAGGATTCCCCAGGTTTGAAACCTGGAAGGGAGAGAAGGGGGAAGCAGTAGAGGCGGGTGGTGGGGGATGGAGTGGGGGGCGCAGGCACGACTTTGGCCACCTCCCCCACTGGCAGGCCTGGCGTGCTGAGCTCTCCGAGGATGCACGGACTTGAGCGACGCTGCCACCGGGGACCCTGCCAGTGGAGGGAAGTTCAGGGAGTGCTTATCCTCCTGGAATCTCGAGTTGCAGCATTGAATTCCGGGACCAGTTAGGGACCTTTGCGGGCTTCCCTCTTGCCCTCTGGCTTAGGAATGAAGGTTTCCCCAAGGGCTAGGAGATGGTTTCTGCTCTGGGAGACTTTGCCCCAGGTCTGTTCCCAAGGATGTGGCTGCTTCCTCATCTCCATAGAGCTTTTGCTTAGAAACCTGTTCTTGTGCCCTTGGAGGAGACTCTGAGCAGATGGGCAAGCAAAGGCGGGATAGAGCCTGGCACCCAGGCTTTAAGCATGTGTGGGAAGTGTGATTTCTGGGCCTCCAAGTGGAATTCTGCCCTATGGGGCTGCCCAAAGCTGGGGTGGGAAGAGGGCGGTCAGCTGTGAGATGCCATGGCCAGGACCAGAGCAGCAGCAAGCAGAGGGCTGTGGGTGAGGCTGCTCTTTGGGGTTCCAGCCCTCTATAGCCGTGGGCCTCCAGGTAAGGGGGAGGCAGCCTGGAAGGCCCTGAGGTTTGGTGCTGCTTGGTCCCTTACGGGCAGCTGGGACGAAAGAAGTCAAGGGCTCCCTCTTTGGAGCCGCTGATTCTAAGCTGTCTGGGAGGAGGTAGCCAGAAGCCAGTTGATCTGGACCAAAACTGGTGAACAAGGCCAAATGCAGGGGCCCTCTCTTTGTGCTCTTGGTACATGTGGGGGTTCCCTGGTCAGCAAGTGGTCAGCCGTGCTACAGAAACCTTTCTCCAAATCTCCCTGTTGGTGTTCGTGACTGTAACCTTACAGAGTGACCAAGAACGCCTAGGGTTGACTACCTGGAAGTGGTGAACTTGATCTTGGCCCGCCAGAAGTAGTCTTGATCCAGAACCAGGGGGCACATACTGGGGAGCACTGACTGAACATCTGTGTTGGAAGTTGTCTGCCAATCTCCTGCACCCAAGGCCCGGTGGGCTGGGTGTGGCAGGGGGCATTCACACAGCCTTCTCCCTCCAGCATGCCAACATGCGGAGGCCATGGGTGGAGGGCCACAGGCCTGGCTTCCAGAGGGGCCTGCTAGACAGAGCCCAGGGACACAGGTTTGGATGCCCCCCTCCCCCACATGCAGGTGTGCTGGGGCCCTGCTGGCTGGGAGCTAGAAGCGTCACTGTTTCCATATAGGCTGGTGGTCTCCCCCTTCTCTGGGAGATCTGACCAGATGTGCAAAGAAGGGCTGCTTGCTACCACTGCCATGCTCCATGTGCTTGTCCTGGCCACACTGGTGGTCCGGAGTCAGGGGCAGGGGGCTAACAGCAGGTTTTGCTCAGCCAAGGGGTGGAGGGGCACTGAGTGTTTCAGTAGGAGAGGGACTCCATCCATTTTCTTGCATAGAAAGGCTGGGGTATGGCCCTTCTAGAAGGGTAGATGGCGGAGTGGGGGATCGGAGTGTTGTCAGCGGCATGAAGAGTTGGGGGTGGAGTTCTGGAAGCTTCTGCTACCGAACCCCAAGCAACAGGATTGAGGGTTTCCAATGTTGGATGAGGGTCATGGTCACCAAGTGCCTCTCAGAAAGCCCGTGGTGTCCTGGGCTTTTTGTTGGGATAGAGAGGCGAGGGGGGCAGAGCCAGATGGTCTCACAGGTGCAGGATCCTGAGCACAGCCAGTCCCTGCCTGGCTCGGTGAGGCCTTGGGGTCCACAGGGATTCTGCAGGCACAAGCTGCCATCTGAGTGGATGAGAGCACACGTGGCCCAGCCAGGCAGCCCTGCTACTGGGCACTCTGCCCCAGTGCCCTGGCATAGGACAGAGCCTTGGTTCTGCCAGAAGTCCATTCACACACAAGTTACTGTAGCGTCAGTGGCTGGCTGGCACGAACAGATCTCTCTGAAGGCCAGTGGAGGGGAGGAAGCCTGCGGGCAGCCTCCAGGGTGCCTGGGAGTGGGCACCTCCCCCTGCATGCCCTTGTGCTGGGCAACAGGCAGGTGGGTGGGCAGGGAGTGGGAGCCACTAGCCCTCTACTTACCTCCTTTCTGTGTCCGTAGGGCGGGGAGGGGTCCAAGTCTTTGCTTGCTCTCCCAACCTTGGAAGACAAACACGTGACCTTGGCCAGGAGGAGGGAGGCTTGGCTGGGGTCTGCTCTGGCTCTGAACTCCCAGGCCCAGCCTCTGCATCCAGCCTGGATTCCCCAGACCTCAAGGATGGGAGCTCCTGAGGGCAGAGCAGCCAGGACAGTTAACTGACCAATAAACTTGGGCCATGAAAGAAGAATGGTGGGAAGCAGTAGGAAGTGTGACCCACCGTGCCTTGCCCTGTGGTGACAGAGGGGTGGGGGGAAGGAGGACTTAGCAGGTGGGCATCCCTTTGCAGATGCCCTGTCTCAGCAGGCATTTGCCAAGTGCTTCCTTCCTGTCCCCTACATTTGCTTTGCTTGGGGCTAGAGCTATCTGGGAGACAGGCAGGTGAGGGTGCTCTGGGCCAGCCCCACCCAGCAAGGGGAAGCTCAGTAGGACTCGGTGAAGCACAAGCCTGTGGAAATGCCAGGCAGCTGGGAAGGTGACGTTCTCTCCTCTCCCCCTCCTCCGCCTGCCCCCTTCTCTGAGCTTGATGTACACACCTTGGCGTCAGTGCTGTGCGCACGGCTGCCGCAACGGCTGCCTGGCCTGTTATTCTTTCCACTCCGCAGGCTGCGGCTCCGGTGGCTTGGCCCAGTGGCCTGCCGGGGGGGCCCCCACCCCTCCTGGGCAGCCTCTTCCATTCCTCCCAGGCTGAGTCACTGGCCCCGCGGAGGGTTCCCTCTCTGTCTCTTCCCGCTCTCGCGGCTGCCTGTCGGCTTGGCCATGGGTCCTCGGCTGCCACAAACCACAGGGAGGTTATCTGGCTCAGCATGGGAGGCCCTGGTGATTCCAAGAGTGTCCCCCTTGCCCAGGAACACTGGAGGGAGAGGAGGGAGGGCTGCAGGCAGCCTGGCTGGGACAGAGGGCAGTGTGGGAACCAGGGTGGGGAATTTGAACCTTAACAACCCCACCCTCACCCGGGGTGAGGCCCAGACCCCATGGAATGTGCTGTCATTCTGGAGGTAAGGAGAGGAGCAGGGGTGCAGACTCCCCAGCTCAGGGCTTCCTGGCTTTGTGGCTCTCGCAGGCTCAGTGCTCCCGGGAACCTCTGTCCCACCCCACAGCGGCACGACCCCCGTGGGAAGTAGGCACCTGCAGCTAGCTCCCTGTTCAGAGCCCTGCCTGCGCCTGGACTGCTTCCCGCTGGCTGACCTTTGTCCTGCGTTCTTGGCTGGTTTTTGGGAATTCCGGGGAAAGCCCCAGAGGACAACCCAGCAGCCTGGCCCCCATGATGGCTGTGGTCAGGGCAGCAGGCTCTCAGGGTTGGGAACCCTCCTGTCTTCACAGTGCCACTCCCCCCTGGGCACCTTCCCCTGTGTCCGGGTCCTGACCCCAGCAGGCGGCTGCCTCACACCCAGCCCGCCCAGACGTGGCCCGGGCCTCCCTCTGCCCTGGCCGGCATCTCCACCTCCGCCTGTCCTTTGCGGTGGGCGGTGGTTTCTGGGCTGCCCTGGCTTCGGAAAGTGCCCGCGTTTTTTAACCCCGGGCATGGACCCAGGGACAAGGCCCTGGAGTCTTCCCAGTGCCTGGGAGGCCCTGATGACTTGGGAGCAGCTGGCTAGGGGACAGGGGCGTGCGCCTGATGGCCTCCGAAGTGAGTCCCTTGGGGTTGGAGTGCTGCCCCCTGCCTTGGCTGTTCATAAGGATAGTTTCTCCCCTGCGGTTGGTGGGGGAGGGTGGCAGCTCAGGCTATGAGGACAATGGTGGGACAGCCAGGTAGAGAGGGACTCAGGACATCCAGCTGGGCCCCAGGAGGCAGCAGTCTGCCTGCTGCAATAGGCAAGGCAAAAGCTGGTCTACACAAGAGCCCTGGGCCTGGCTTAGTTCTCTTTTTATGTTCTGCAGTTGCCAGGGCAGCAGGGAGTAGGGCCTTTGGGGAGCTCACTGCAGCTGCCAATCTGGTTCAGGACCCCTTTCCATCTTGGAGCAGGGGTGGACCCTCTTCCTGGAGGACCCCTTGCTGTTCCTCATCCTGTGTTCTTCCTTCCTCCAAGTTGTACCTGCCCTCCCAGGTCCCCAAGAGCTGAAAAGGAGCAATTCAGCAGGCCAGCGCTAGAGGGCGCAGGGAATGTAATCTAAGGGCAAGCAGGGCTCCTCAGTGGGATTTGTCTGGTCACTCCCTGGGATGTGTTGGGAAGCCCTGGACCGCTCCCCTTGGGTGCTACTGTACCCTGCGTGCCCCTTGTGAGTGGGGACTCAGCTGGGAGTCCTCTGGTGATTCAAGAATTGCCAGTCAAGTCCTGGGCTGCTTGGAGATGTTGGCATCTGCTGGGGGCAGGTGCCTGTCATGTTATGGTAGACTGGAGGGGAGCCCTGAGGTAGCCTAGAGGTCCCGAAGTGGGGAGTGACTTGACCTTGGTCTCAACAGCCGATTCAGGTTGATCTGTGGCTAAAGCTCAGGGTGTCAGGGTGCCCAGCTGTTTTCTCCTATCACTCTGATACATCTTCCAGCCAGCTAGCCCTCGCTTTGGCTGCTCCCAATGGCTGTGGTCTCCACACTGTCTCTCTCTAGGGGTTCATCTTCGGGTCCAGGTCTCCTGTGTGCTAGGGACCCTGGCTGCCTCCTACCCTGTCTCTTCCTGACAGTGTTCCTAGGCAGCCCCAGGCCAGCTGGTCCTGGGCCAGTGCGGTGACCCGCCTCCTCTCACACTGGGTCCAGCCTTGCTGTGGAGGCCTGGCAGTCACTGAATTAGCTTCTTACCTTCCTTCCTTGTACCTGCTCAGCTCCAGCATTGTGGTTTGTTCTGAGCTGGTCCCTACGATGTTCTGGATGGGCCGGGTATTGGGCTCTGGGGGGAGGGTTGCCGCCCTGTTCCTTAAAGACACTTAGATCAGGGGTTGAAGGAGGAATCCTAAGAACTCCCAGGGTTGGGGGCAGGGCAGGGCAGAGGTAGATAGCATTACCTTTATCCATGACCCTGTGCCAAAAGCTGGCAGCACATGTCCCCTGTAGCTTCTCTGGGGACCCTAGAACTTGGTCAGGTACAGATGACCTGTGTAGTCCAGGGCTGACCTAGGCCGCCTCCCACCATCCTGCCACCTTCCAGTTGGCCCTTTGCAGAGGGTGCGGCCCTCCTGGCCCCCTCTCTCCTCCCCTCCCTCCCTTGCTTCGTGCCCCGGGAATTTCGGAATGAAAGTGCTATTGTGAGCGCCTGGCTGGGCCACTGAAGGGCCAGCACTGTTATTTCTGCAAACCAGCCCTCCCATTTGCCATGCAGGGCCCAGGCCAGGAAAATGTTACCTTTTCCTCCTGGAGCTGACTACAGGGGAAATTCTCACATTTACAGTTTGTGCGGTGGTTGTGTTTGGGGGGGCAGAGGGGGAGGGCAGGCGCGTGTGTGTGGTTTGCACAAAGCAGGGGGAGGGGAGGGCTCCTTCTTCTGCAGGCCCCTCCCCCTCCACTTTGCCGGCTGATCTTTCTCCTGGTGCCGGTGCAGGGCGCCTGCCTTCTGCCAGGGATTCTAGGGGGTGGTGAGAGCCACAAGCTGTCAGTAAATAAACTTACATCCTCCCTTCTGCCACACACCGTGGGCAGCAGCATGAGAAACATGTGCAGAGGCATCTGCGTGAGGAGAGGCCAGTGGCCTGACTGAGCCATTCCAGAGAGTACATGCCAGGGGAGGTGGACATGGCTCTGCAAGATGAGCCTGGAGGATGCAGAGAATCGAAAGGGTTTCTGTTTGTGATCTTCTGGGGGCTGAATCCATTGGTCCCATCCATCACCCTTGCCTGCAGGCCTGGGCACACCAAAAGGCACATACTTGACAAAGCTGTTACCAAGCTCCCTTGAATCTTCACCCAGTAGGTGTTTTGCAGAGAGAGAGAACAGTTTTGCTTCCCAGGAAGTTCTACTGGCAGTCTAACCTTGAGCCACCTGCTGCTCTCCTGCTCCTTCCTTGGGTAGCAAGCTCTTCCATGTCCTGAATGCATTCTGTGTGCTGGGACTGAGGGGTGGACCCTGCAGTGGCCAAGCAGGCAGCCTTTTGGCTCCAGGCCTGTTCTCCCTCTTGGTTGCTCCCCACAGCAGGGATAATTCCTCCCACTCTAGATTGGGCAGGGGCTGCTCTGCTAGGTTCCCAAGGCTTAACTCTGGTATGGACGCACACCCTTCTGTGGCTCAACAATAGGGTCACAGCTCCAGGGATGGTCCCCACTGTGAACTGTGAGTGCTTGTCGACTGGGTTTAATCCTGTCGTTTCCTGCCTCCCCTCCAGGATGTAGGGAGAGGGTTCAGAATAGAGACTCTGCCACTGCCCAGGTCTACCCTGTGTCTAGAGCCCTTGCCAGAGGAAGTGGGGACTGAAGTTGTCTCTGGCTGTAGTTGCGCGGTGTGTGGCTTGCCTTCAGCAGAACAGGGGACTTGCTGGCCCCTCTCCTGTCCTGGTGGGCTCTGCTGACCTGGCCTGCCTCTGTGCCTTCCAGATCTTTTCCAAGATCTTCAGCCACGAGGCCCTGGAGAGCTACCTGCCCAAGATACAGCTGGTGATCCAGGACACGCTGCGTGCCTGGAGTAGCCACCCCGAGGCCATCAATGTGTACCAGGAGGCACAGAAGCTTACCTTCCGGATGGCCATCCGGGTGCTGCTTGGCTTCAGCATCCCCGAGGAGGACCTGGGGCACCTGTTCGAAGTCTACCAGCAATTCGTGGAGAACGTCTTCTCCCTACCTGTGGACCTGCCCTTCAGCGGCTACCGGCGGGTGAGTGCCCAGGGTGTCCCGACTGACACAGGTGTTGGGTACCAGGACAGAGGGCAGGTGTGCAGGCTGGAGCCTCTTCCTAGGGTCTTGAGGCTCGCTCGGCGGGAGGGGGGGCCCCTTTATGGGGCTACTGGCTGAGACCCTGTCTCGCCTCCCTCAGGGCATTCAGGCTCGGCAGATCCTGCAGAAGGGGCTGGAGAAGGCAATCCGGGAGAAGCTGCAGTGTACCCAGGGCAAGGACTACTCGGATGCCCTGGACATCCTCATTGAGAGCAGCAAGGAGCACGGCAAGGAGATGACGATGCAGGAGCTGAAGGTGAGCCCGCCATCCTCCCCCCAAACCCTGCCGGACTGGGACAGGGGCCATTTCCACTCATCTCTGTCTTCCTTTGACCATGCTTTCTGCTTGGTGGCGGGGCAGTCACTGCACCTGACTCCACAGAAGAGGTGGAATTCCTATCCTGCTTGCTTGAGCCTTCAGACACAGCTGAAGAGGAGAGGCAGACACAGCTCAGGCCCCTCTTGTCCTCCGCCAAGTTCCCCTTAACCAGCTGTTTCTAGCTGATGGTACTTGCTACTCTCCCCCATCTGCCCAGCACCAGCCAGGCCCACCCTGGGTCTGGCACAGGGCTTCCTGACCACCAGTGTGAGTGGATATTCAACCACCCACCTTCTTGCCTGGTGCCCACAGACACTCATCAGAGACACCTTGGCCCACAGTCTGCACCCATTCCTGTGTTAGCTCTTGTTCTTGCACTGGGGCAGCCAGCAAGAGGCCAGGACTTTCCCTTTTCCAAGTATTGTCCCGCCCTTACCACTCCTGGCTCCAGAGAACCCTGGAGAGGCCACCATCCCACAACTGTCACAGCACAGTGTCCTCAGCTCAGGTCCTCATGTTGTGGCTGCCTCCAGACCCTGTCAGTTCACTTGACGCCTGGTCCAGTGCCCTTCCCCTGGGGTTAGAGGTGAAGAGATAGGGGTGAGAAGAGTAGAAATTTAGATCCCATGTCCCGCCCTATTCCACAGTGCCTGGATCCCTGGTTTTGGTTTTGTTTTGTTTTTTCCTTCCTCCTCTGATGGCCTGTTGCATCCTGCGGGTCTGCTGTGAGACTGAGCCAGGAAACCCACAGAGTGACTGGCCTTGCAAAGTGCCATGCCCTGACTGGCACCAGCCATGTCTTCTGTCCAGCCAGGGCCCCGTCTTTATGATCGTTTGAACACCCAGGCGACATGGGACTTAGAGGGAACAGGCAGGGTGTGGAACCACAGAGTACCCATGCCCCTGCTCCATGTGCCACTTCCTGCAGGACGGGACCCTGGAGCTGATCTTTGCAGCCTACGCCACCACGGCCAGCGCCAGCACCTCACTCATCATGCAGCTGCTGAAGCACCCGGCCGTGCTGGAGAAGCTGCGGGAGGAACTGCGAACCCAGGGCATCCTGCACAGTGGCGGCTGCCCGTGCGAGGGCACCCTGCGCCTTGACACTCTCAGCGGCCTGCGCTACCTGGACTGCGTCATCAAGGAAGTCATGCGCCTCTTCACTCCCATCTCTGGCGGCTACCGCACCGTGCTGCAGACCTTTGAACTTGATGTGAGGCCAGGCTATGGGGTGGCAGGGGGTGTGGGTGCTCACAGGGGGCTGTGCCGTGGGGTGGGGTGGGGTGGGTGTCTCCTGACTGGTAGGAAAGACCAACCTCTCCCTTGGGTACCGCAGATTGATGGAGAGTCAGTGCCTGCTTTGGTGGGGATAGACACGGCCGAGCAGGGAGGCTAGCCGGGCCTGCGGTTCCCCAGGCATTGGGTGGGACAGGACAGGGACCCCCCCCCACCCCCCCCACCCCCGCGCTGGCTTTCCCTGTCCTCACCACCCTGCCTCCCTTCTCCCCCTCTGTCCAGGGTTTCCAGATTCCCAAAGGCTGGAGCGTCATGTACAGCATCCGTGACACTCACGACACAGCACCTGTGTTCAAAGACGTGAACGTGTTTGACCCAGACCGCTTCAGCCAGGCCCGCAGCGAAGACAAGGATGGCCGCTTCCATTACCTCCCATTCGGCGGCGGCGTCCGGACCTGCCTGGGCAAGCACCTGGCCAAGCTGTTCCTGAAGGTGCTGGCTGTGGAGCTGGCCAGCACCAGCCGCTTTGAGCTGGCCACCCGGACCTTCCCCCGCATCACCCTGGTGCCCGTCCTGCACCCGGTGGACGGCCTCAGTGTCAAGTTCTTCGGCTTGGACTCCAACCAGAACAAGATCTTGCCTGAGACGGAGGCCATGCTGAGCGCCACGGTCTAGCCATGCCACCTTTGCCCACTACCCCGAGCCCGGCCCAGCCTAGCCGTGCGTCTGGAGGGTGGGTAGTGAAGGGAGGTTAAAACCTGTGTGGGGGAGGGGCTGTGGTGGGAGGGCCCGAGTCCCCCTCCTGCCTCCCGCTTCTCTCCAGTGTCTCCCCACTTCCCCCACCGGCTCAGCTCCCGGAAGGGCCGGGCCCGCTCTCTGCATGCCTGTGACAGTGTTCCATGTTGTCAACTAGCGCTGCCGTGTGCGTTTGTGACCCGCCCTCCCGTCTCCTTCCAGTTGGAGGTCAGCAGGGCGAGGAGGGCTGCCCCCTGACACCCACCTCAGCACCTGCTCCTCTCCCACGCCACAGCACCCAGGGCGATGAAGGCACCCCTCTCCTCCTGCTGGCTTGGACATTCCATATTACCTATTGCTGCTACTTTCTCCCTCCTCTGACTCTGGGGCCCTGCCCCCCTCCAGCACCCTCCCCCCACATCCCCGGGACAGGTGCACTGACATCCCTTCTCCTCACAGACACAGCTTTGCTTCACAGCAGGGGCCCTTGACTCACAGGCTGACCACCCCTACCCCATAGCATCCCACACATGGTAGTTATTCCTGATAGAGCATCTTGGGGACATCGAGTCTGGCTGGTACAACTTGTACGGTTAACTTGAAAGGGGCTCTGGTCAGATCCCAGCTGGCCTGGCTGAGAGTTGATCAGCCTCCCAGGCTCCAGACCTGCTGTGGGTTTAATGTTAGAGCCTGGCCAAAACCCATTCCCTCGGCCTGGTGTCCCCTGGTGGAGATGGGGCAATAACCCTGTGGCCTTCACCTTCATCATGTGGAGTTGGAGGTCGGAGGCTGCCACCATTCACCCGGTATCCCCACTCCATTAGTGCATCTAGGGAAGGATACGGGTTTGTTCTTCCTCTACCTTCCCATTACCCTCACCCTTTGCATGCGGCCCTGGGCCTGGTGTCCTGAAGGTTCCTCTAGCCTCTGGCTACTGTCAGCTTAAGGCTGCAGGCTGAGGTGAAGGCCAGGAGGTGTCATAGAGAGAGTCCTCGCTGGGTGCTGAGCCAGCGGGGATGGCCAAGGAGGGCGGGTACGTGTGACTTGTGGGAAGTGATTGGACAAGCTGGTGAAAGGAGCAGCTCCGATTGTAGTGTGCCTCCCCGGGGTGGCTTGGGGACCTTTGGTGAGGGTCAAAGCTGTTTTGCCTGTTTTCGGAGTATCCTTGGCTTTCCATGCTTACTAGGCTTTGATGCGTTCTCTTGATAAGAGAATGCAGAGTGGGGAGGGGGCAAGTGATGAGCCCCTGACCGCCCTGGGACCCCCTCCTGCATGTCCAGTGGACCCGAGCCACTCACAGGCCCCTCTCCCATCGGCCCTCGCTCCGTGGGACACCGTGCAGAACTAGGGTCCTCCTGCCCCCACACTTCCTACTCTCATGGCTTCAAAACCTGCACAGCACGGACATTATTGGCAAAGATGTTTCTAAATTTTTAAAAACCATATTTTTCCTCAATCTTGTTCCATTTCTGGGGAAAAAAATATTGTAAAGACTTATCAACATTTGCCTGGTGCATTTGGAGAAAGCCCAGTTTCTGAAAGGGCCTTTTACCTTTGAGCTGATCCTGCTTGCCTCAAACAAATGATTCTGGACTGACTGGCTAGGAGCGCGGTAAGCAAGGGTTCAGACAGGAAACCCATCCCGGGTCCTGCCCTGGTGAGGCCAGAGGCCTTGAGGGACTCTGGGAGGCCTCCGTGGCCATCCCTGGGGTGGCCAGGCTGGAAGGCAGCAGAGAAGGGAAAGCTGGTGGGGGGATCCCCGTGAGGGAGGACAGGAGAATGTTGCTGGGTCTCAAAGGCAGGAGGGGAGGGCTGGAGGAAGCTGCGGCAGGCAGGATCGGTGGTTTTGACCCCTCCTTCCCTCCCTCTTTCCCTGTGGCTACATTGTGGGATGTCCCTGTCCTTGTGTCCATGTGTGTGTGTTCTATAGACGTAGCATTAGAAGGGTGATGTTTTCTCACTTACCGTTCCTAACTATTGTAACTTGACGTTAAAAAGACAAAACCCCACACACCCCTTCCTGCCATGGGCTTGCAGATTAAAGCACTTTCGATGTTGGGCGCTGGCGTTTTGTGTCCTGGGCACCACCCCCCCCAACCCTGCCCAGATCGCTATAATGTTATTTTATACACAAAACTTTTTTTTTTTTTCATAAATGTTATAATTTTGTGTCTGTCTTTATAAACTATTCTAAGTACTATTTTTGTTATAATTCAAAATAGATATTTAGTATAAAGTTTTTTGCTGTTAAATATTTGTTATTTAGTAAAATATGAATTTTTCTCTATTGTAAACATGGTTCAAAATATTAATATGTTTTTATCACAGTTGTTTTAATATTGAAAAAGCACTTGTGTGTTTTGTTTTGATACGAGACTGGTGCCGTGTGAGTGTGTTTGCTGTCATGTGGTTTTAATCTGTATATAATATTCCATGTTGCATATTAAAAAAAAATGAATGTCGTGCATTTTGTGATTTTGGAAATACTCGATGTGGCTCTTTTATAGGCTTCCATAATAAACCGTGGGGACTCGCCCTTGTCTTGCTTGCTTCTCTGCTCCCTCTGCCTTCTCCACCCAACCTGTCAGGAAGTTCTTCCCTAAAGTGACTGCCTGGGAAGCCAGCCCAGATGTGTGAAGGCACAGAGAGGTCATGGCAAAGCCCAGGGTGGGGAGAAGGGGCAGTCAGTGTCCCTGGGGAGTGGCTGCTGCTCCTGGCCTGGCCGTAACCCACTGGCTGTGCCCAGTGTCCCAGCTCTGGACAGAGTGGCCTGCAGCTCCGGGGGTATTGATGTGCACAGCCCTCAGCCAGGGGGAGAGCAGGCTTCCGGCTTTGCAGCGCCCCACGCCAGCGCTTCCCAACACCTGAGTCATACCTCTAGCTGGAGCCAATTGATTCTGTGATCTAATAAGGCTGGGAAATGGTTCCACAAGTTCAGCCAGGTTGTTGGGTGGCAGGACGCCCCAGGATGTGTAGCCTGAGGGGCACGCAGGGGAGGGAGCATAGATGCAGCCACTTGGAGGCTGGTGATGACGCATGAAGGGCGGGTATCCAGGGTGGAGCCTTGGGCAGCTGATCACATTCTGGGAACAGCCCACACAGAGCTGGCTTGTCAAAGATGAGGACCTAGGTGAGGCCCCTCAAACTAGGGCCCAGGCTACAGTGGCACAGTGTCCGTGGGCAGGGCCTGGCCTGTGCTGTGCCTGGGGTGTCTGCTCCATAGCCTGGCTATGTCCCCACTCCTAGCTAGCTGTTCTTGTGTCTGCAGTGTTTTGTTTTGTTTTAAAGATTTATTTTTAATTTGAAAATCAGAGTTAGCGATATTATCCATCTGCTAGTTTGCTCCTCAAATGGCTGTAACAACTGGAGCTGGGCTGGTCTAAAGCCAGTGGCCAGGAATTTCATCCATGTCTTCCATGTGGGTGCAGGGGCCCAAGCACTTGAACCATCTTCCACTGCTTTCCTAAGCATGTTAGCAGGGAGCTAGATTTGAAATGGAACAGCGGAGACTTGAACCAGCGCACATATGGGATGTTGCTGATACAGACAGTTTCACACGTAATGCCAGAATGCTGGTCCCTTAGTGTTTCTTTTCAATACAGTCAATCATGCCCAGCTTGGACTATGAGCACCCTGGCCCAGGCACGCAGTGTGAACACAGGGTCTGGCACTGTATGAGTCACAGGACGTCAGACCATCGGGACTGCCTGCCCACTGGCTTTCTCTTTTTGCTTCCCTCCTCCCCACTGCTCCTGAATTTTAACCACCACCCCTCTATTGCCTGCCCAGGGGTTGGAGGTAGAGCAGGGAGGTTTCTGTAGAATAGCAGGGTCACAGAGGGTCTGGGTCTCCCAAGGCCCTAACAGAAGTATGCGGCAGCACCATGTGTGATCAGCTCCACACCACAAATGGTCCCCGGTAGATCTCCCCGGCCTCCCCTCTGCTTCACAGAGGTCTCAACGCCTGCTGGGAAGCAGGCCAGGGAAGGTAATAGCTTTTCAGAGTATAAATTCCATCTCTCCTGGTGGCATGTCCTGTGTGGCAGCAGAGTTGAAGGAAGTGCGGTCCCAGGCTGCCCTGGGCTGACCACCCAGTCCTGGGCCAGTGGGCAGGCACAGAGGGGCAAGGGGCAGCTCTGTTTCTCCCCCAGGGGCTGAACCGCTCAGTGACGCCTGAGTGCCTGGCGGTCCCTGGGATCTCCCAGCCTGGAAGGCGAACACTAGCCGCTGTGATGGGCAAACACGGCTGCTGTTTGTCCAGCGATCCGGGCGCCAGCTTGGAGGGAACTCAGAGACCGCACATTCTGCCACCTCCCAGCATTTTTCCAAAACAGCCTGGCTGCCCAGGGTGGCAGGGGGCTGGGAGCCAGGGGACAGGGCAGGCAAGAGAAGGGCCTGGGGACCAGCAGGGCGCAGTGACCGGTCGGAGGTGAGGTGGAGAGGACAGAGTCAGCACTCTGCCAGTTCTGCTATGGTTGATTTGTCCTGGAGAAGAGAGAGAGAGGGGAAGGTGGAGAGAGGAGGTGAGAACGAAAGAGGAGAAAGAGGAGGATAAAGGAGAAAGAAGACACAGAGAAAGACAAGAGAGGAGAGAGAAAGAGAATGTGTGTCTGGCCTCCCAGGAGGCCCTTATTCCAGCCCCTTCAGCCTTGGCCCCACCCAGAGGGTCCCTGACCATATGACTCTGGAAAGGAATATGGATGACTTGGAAGCAGCTGTGCTTGAGCAGCTTATACACATGTGGCCCCCAATTCCTAGCTGGTCTGCACCCACTGCACAGGGGGCAGAGGTGACCTTTGATTTGTTCTCCCATTTGGGCTCAGAAAACCTCTAAGCCTGTTACACAGGACACCTGGCAAGCAGTGCCCTTCCCGTCCCACAAGCAAGCTTCCAAGACCTCGCCCTGAGCAGGTGCCCCACAGCAACTCGCTGCAAGGACTCTGATAGGTCTAACTTAAGTCCCAAGTTAATCTGTGGCCAGAATGTCTTCCTCTGATTGATTGACTTAAGTAGGGTTGGGAGATGGTACGTGATTGACAATCCAAGGTAGATATG